GAGTGCCCGCTGCCCGACGCATTTGGAGAGAAGATGGGGAAGAAGAAGAAGAAGAAGAAGAAGAAGAAGAAGAAGAAGAAGAAGAAGAAGAAGAACTGAACTGAACTGAACTGAAACAGCGAGGCCAATCGCTATGCGTCCATGTCTTCCAACAATAAGCATGAAGCTCCTACACGGACATCGTGCTCAAAACTCGCACATTGCCCCACGCGTTTCGCCTGGTTGCGCACCAGGACTTATCAAGGGGCATTCCACTCTCCCGCATCCACCGTATCACACCACCCAGAGCAAAGAAGGCCTTTCTGGCCTTGCCCTCCAGAGTTATACTGACATATTCTCCACGTCCGCAACTGACTGGGCGTGTGCCGACTTGGCTCGCTTGTAACCGACCTGGCATGCTCATGCGTATGCCTCTTCTTCCCGCCAACCTCACGCGAACGCCTCCCATGTGCCAGGTATTGCCAAATTACACGTGCATCGGTCGACGGTAGGGGCGTACGCTGCGAAACCGGCCTTGGGCTGTAATCTTCCGTTGTACCGGGCCTGCCATCCAAGCTAGGTACCAGCCAGTCTAGTACGACCATCCAGTTAACCGGTTCCGACTCTACTGGCCCCGGTGACCTCATCCTATTCTCCTACGTTTCCACACCCACCAGTACTCTTGGTACCCAGCCTGCCTCTCCACGCTGCTTACTTCTTCCCGCCCTCCCGCCTCACCCTGATGTAACTAACTCTCGCTATCGGTACCGTCTGAACTCGATCCTAGTGTACATCCGAGTACTCACTACTGGGAATCGGGGCTGTGGGGCTTCCCTTTCTCCTAACTAGTATACATCCCGGTTTCCCCCCCGGGCCCCTGCTCCTCCCCCTATAGGATGACGTTGCCCCTATCATCACTATCACGCCCCCTGCTCCCCACCCTTATCTAATGTACATCCCGGTACTGCGCACCGGGGCCCGCTTCCCATATCCGCTTCACGTGTCCTCGCTCCTTTTCCCATCCCCTTTCGTGCTCCTCCCACTTCCCTCCCTATCTTAACCGGCATCTCCAACAGCGTCTTCAGCGCTGCTCCGAACGGGCCGGTGGCTCTGGCAAAAACCGCCAGAGCATTGGAAAAGAGCGCCGGGGGAAACCCCCGACGCCCCGGCTCTATACCAATGGATAGCACCGCTGGGACTCCTGCGGCTGGGTCTGTTGCAAGATGCCTGATTCTGTGAAGCGCTGCAATCACCGTGCCAGCCTTCACCCGCTTATCCGAATATGATGCATAGTCTTGGAAGCAACTGAAGGCCAGCGTGCCTTCTACCGAGGCCTCTTCATTCTTATGTCTAGGACGGATGATAAACGTAATCAGACCTGGTAACGCTGCAGCCCTAGTCCCCAGAAAGTCCCAGGAATTGGAACCATCATCCGTCCTCACCAGCACCAGCTGTTTTCCGTACGTTTTTTCGAAACTCAGAGAAATTTCCCTCGCTAACGTCACACTCCAATAGTCACCCATGTTGCAAGCAACTGCTAAGGTGACATCGTCTACCAACCTGACCCCGTGTACCAGCTTCTGGTTTGCTCCCAGCAAGTCTATAAAATCCACCTCATGCTTAGTGCACAATACACAAGCTAGTGAGGGGCTGGAGTTCTTCCCCAAGCTAGTGAGGGGCTGGAGTTCTTTCCCATAGGAATCCCTACAACCTGCTTGAGAATCATCCTCCTACACGTAATGTACGTGTTATCTAGCTCGTAGCTGACCATGTGTCGGATCTGGGAAAACTTGATCGTAACATAGCCTGGTCATGTGCTCGTCTTGTTAAGGACCACCACGCTGCCTCTTCTACTCAGGCTCAGCTTGCCTACTCCTCTCAGCTCCCACTGCTGCAGCAGCCAGTCGACAGCTTGAACAATCGCTTGGTGCGGCAGCGACGTGAACATCTCCTTGATGTCGTAGCTCGCCATCAGGGCCATCGACTCGTTGTCAGGCGGCCACAAGTAGTGCGCCGCCTGAAAGTGGCAGCTTTGGAACTTAGGCACAAGGACAAGTCCGTGTAATGACGGTATTCTGGTTTGACCAGGCAGCAAAATTAGGGGGACCCAGAGCACCCCTAAGATTGGAGGTGTCGACCGTTGAGAGAGGCCCTCAAGATTGACAAGAGGGACTACCGCTTCAACCGCGCCGACGCTCCCCTCTTTTTTCGCCTGCTCCAAGGCTATTTCCGATATGGCAAGCTGTGGGACGGTAATATGGGAGTAGACCTTGCCATGACTCTTCTACATCAGCCTATCGATGGAGAGATGGAGCCACGAATTTTGATAATTCCAAGGATAGAATTAAAATTAAGGAGAAAATAATTAAAAATAATAAGAGAAGGGAAAACAAAGGAATTTTCGCTATTTAATTGAACTCCCTCAGAATT